TACTATTAGTATAACAACATAACATGTTAAGAACCCGAGAGTTAAAGTAAAGAAAGAAAAAAATTTCACTTGCGTATAGGTGTAAAATAAAGAGATGATAGTCTAGTAATAAGTAATGGATTAGACTATAACTCAGGCTTTTAGTAGTAGTGTAAGGTTGGCAACCCGCCGCCAGGGCGGGAGGCGTCACAGCACCCCCGGGACACGCCTGGGCACCCCCGGGGAATTCCCGGGCCACCCCCGGGGCAACCGTGGGGCACCTGCGGGACACCCCCAGGACACCTCCACGACTCCCCCAGGACACCCCCGGGACACCTATGCGACACCCCCAGGACAACCCCAGGGCATCCTTGGGACATCCCCGAGGCACCCGCGAGACACCCCTAGGGCACCTTGGGAGACCTCCAGGAGACCCCCTGGGGACCCCTGGGAGGCCCTCAGGGGACCCCCGGGAGGCCCCAGGATACCTTCAGGACACCCCCGGTTTTTTTAGATATATCCAACTCTTATCAATTGGCATCTTGACTATAAAAATAATAATACATTCAATCATACTTCGTGTTTTCTTGTGACTATATGGTCACATTCATAAAGAAAATTTTATAGTTCATGTTTCAAATTTATAAGTTTTATCAATTTTTATTAATAATTTATTCTATTATTATTATACTCATAATGTTTATAATTAATTTTTAATTTACTTTCTATTAATATAATTAATTCTTATTAATGAAATTCTTAAAATTAATAGGTTTTGATTAAATTTTGGCAGCATAACGACATATTTTTCTTATTATCCAAAAATTCAAACCTGTAAAAAATAGCTTTTAAAAGATTTCGACACACCATAACTGCAATGGAGTTTATTTTTTAAACTTCTTTTGATGACAAAACAATTAAAATATATGATAATGTTGATTTGGTGAGGATTTAGAAGAGAATAGATGGAGATTTTGGGGGTTTGGGGTCGGAAAACCGGGGAGAGGCCGAGAGAGAGATTGATAGATAGATCGGAAAAAATGGAGGAGGAGGCCCTGGTCGTGGGTATAAAGACAGAATTTTTTTATGACGATAAAAAACAATATTTGCGATGACATATCGTCAGAAATATAACTTATCCCTATTTGCAACGACACATGTCATCGTAAATATAACTTAATTATTTAATAATTGTAGCAAAGGTTCTGGAATTATTATTTGTGACGACATATATTGATGTCGTCGTAAATAATTTTGTGAGAACCGCCCAATTTCCCCGCATTTATTTTATCGAGGAAATACAAAATCAATATTTGTGACCACTCATATTCATGTCATCGTAAATAAATTTTAAAAACTGCCAAAATGTCCCCTTTTTACTCAAGGGACAATAAATAAATGAATTATTTTTTTTTGTGTCGACTTATGTTGTCGCACATAGTACATTATTTGCGACGAAAGTCGTGGCAAATAATGTTATTTTCACGGCAAACGTTGGCGCCACACAACATTTGCCGCCAACTACATATTTGCGACCACGTGTGAGTTTTTAGCGACGATAATATTTTCTTGTTGTACGAAATGTATTTGCGATGTTATATCGTCGCAAATAACTGAATATTCATTTATGTTTTTACTCTGTTTAGCAGGTTGTTTTTCATCTTCTCTAATGGATTTGTTTTTGCGGGCACTTTATCTGCATTCGTGGATTTTCTTCTGTAATTTGTGATTTTTGTTCCTTCATTTATTGTCCTGATGATCTAGAATTTTTAGGATTGTCCCTTGATTTGCTAAGTTGATGAATTATTCTGATTTTCTTATGGACGTATTAAATAAATCAGAGATTTTTTTCATCTATTTTCTGGAATGTTTGTTAGTGTTATCCTGTATTATCTAGACTTTGCATAATTTTAGGGGAAAAATTGTTTCCCCATTTTTCCGTCTGTTTTTCAGTCTTTTCCTTGCTTTTGCCTTTTCCTATTTCTTAGGCCATGAGTAATAAAATTACCCCTAAAGTTGTGTTGGTTTTATCAATTAATTAAGAAATTTTGATCTTCCAATTTTTCTTAGGCTGGTTTGCATTAATACGTGTTACATTATTAAAGGTTGTCTACTGTTCATAATAATTTTTCCAGTTATTATTTATGAATGTTGTTGGCTGCATAGATTTATGATGCATGTTTTTCTCTCCTTTCCCTGCACCTGTTCTCCTCCCCATTCGATTTCATCTTTTATCCTTGTTCATTTTCCCTCATTACTCTTCATTTACTGCCTTCCTTCTATATTTATGCGCCTTTGACTCTTTCTGGTTGGTATGTTTTTTATCTATGACCATTTACTGTTTGATCCCATGGTCCATCATTTACTGCTGTTTTCCCTTATCCTTCTATCCTTAACTGGCTGTGGTCGTTCCTGATTAGTTGATATCTTATAGTTAAAACAGTGTTCATAGTGATCCAAGTACTGTTAATAACTTCTATTCCCTTTTTTCCATGTTATTAATACTTGTTGTTTTCTTTTTTTTATTACTTTTGTCGATCTATGGCTTTACTGTTTTATCATTATTTAACAGCATTGAAATATTTACTTCCATTTTATTCACCTTTTAGCAACATGTCTATAAATATGTCTTTATTTTAGATGTTTTAGCTTTAGTCTCTTTTTCTCATTTCTTTAATTTTTTTCTCCTATGTTTCTTTCCTTCCTCTCTTTTCCCTTTTTTCCTCTTCCCTTCATGGTGATGATGAGCAGAAATATCCTTAATACGTTGAGTTTGATATGATTTGCTCAGAAATTGCTGTGAATGCATCTTTTTGATTTCATTGTATTTTTGTTTATCTTTTCTAATCCAGAGTCTTTTGGCTGTTCTTTTTTTCTTATTTTGGTTCATTTTCATGTTCTTATTTTCTTCGAATCAGTATTTAATCTAAGAATTACTTATATGTGTGTATATATATATATATATTATTTTCTTTTTTACACTATTAAATTCTACTTTTTCCATGTCCTTTCTTTGCTTTTGATATTTTCCCATGATTTTTTGTTATTATCAATTTTTAATATTTTTATTCTTACTATTTGAATTAAAATTTGTTTATTTATATTATTATTATTATTACATAATACTAAAGGAGACCTTCCTAGGTACTGTTCATTCACACTGAATTTTTTATTTTTAAAATAGTATTGTGGTGTTTTTATCCTATTTTTAAAATACTAACCTTTTGAAAATTTATGTCTTGCAGACAAAAAAACAAAACGAGAAGCACAAAAAAAAAAAAAACTCAAGTACAATATAAATAAATTCTTAACAGAACATTATGCAGGCCTGTCCATGTACAAATATGCACATATATAAACTATTTTTGTATTATAAAAATTATTCATTCTCACTCTCACCTTTCATAACTCATCTTTAATCTCCATTATTTTTGCAACAATTTTATATAATGTAAAATTATTATCCGTTGCAGTGCGCAGATAAATCACTAGTTATTATTTTAAAAACTTTTTTAGGAGACGTTTGGTTCATAAATTAGAATCATATGATTAGAATCATTTTTAATTTACGTGTATTTTTTATGAGAAAAAATATTATAACGAACTATAAATCATGATTCAAATTATAATTTAAATCTTTTAACCAAACGTCCATTTATTTTTTCGGATAGAATTATAACCCCACTACTGACAATACAGTAAAAATCCCATATTAAGGGCCCACGTTAAACAAACCTTTTTCTTGTTCTAATGCCAAAACTTTATGAATTGATTTAGTACTTTACATGTTGGCAATAAATCTGCCGTGCCGAGGGAGATGCAATATTGATTGGAAACCTCGAATTAATTCATACATGATCAAAGATCCAAAAGGTTATGCTTTTTTGTTTAATTTCTTTTTATACAAAAAGAATATACGTAGGTCTGTTCGTTTGATTTTTCTTTTTCAATTATTTTACTTCCATTCTATTGTAATTACTTACGTAACATTCATTATTTAAAAAAAACTTTAACATAAGTAATTTAGCAATTATTTAAATATTCTTAACAATATAATCTACCTACAAGATATTAATTTTAGGGTTTCCCATATATCAATGAAGGCAAACGTTTGCTGACATTCTTCCTTTTTTTATGAAGTTTAGTTGGACGAGTCTACGGGGTGGTTTCAAAGTCCGACTCTTTGGTTTTGTCATTTCCGCATTTGAATCTCAAACTTATTGCAGCACTATTTTTCTTATAAAAATTAAAATTTAATTTTTTTTATTATAGTATTTTGTTTAACGTGAATTTACTTTTTAATTCAAGTTCTCAATTCGAACGAGCGAAACAAATAATGCCTTTGTGCTTCACATCTTCATCCTAATTAATTTTTTAGTACTATCGTGTTCACGAATTAACTAATTACAGATATGTATTTTTTTAATCCCTTTACGTTTTGGCTACAAGGTTGCTAGGGCGGAAGTTGGTGCATATATAATTGTTGAAGAAACAATAAAATTTGTCACTTTCCATTGATATGTACAACGCACAATAATAAATCTTAAAAATTATAGGGTGTGTTTGGAATTCGTTCTAAAATAATTTTATTTTTTATATGAAAATGAAAATGAAAACGTTTTCAATCTCAGACAGAAATCATTTTTAAAAATGCGTTTAGTAGTTTTATCAAGAGATTATTTTCAGTGTAAAAAACCTATTAATGTCTCTTTTTCTCTCTCTGCTCGAGAGATGAGGAAACAAAAACAAAAAATGAAAAACGATTAGAAGTCGTTTTTCATTTCTCTCCCATTTTACACTAAACAAAAAAATCGTTTTCATTTCCGTTTTTTATCTTTATTTCAATTTTTTTTTCTCAAAAAACGTAAAAAATAAAAACGGGATCAATTCTAATTCTAAACACGGCCATAGACAGTACTCCATCATATATATATAT